TTGCTTGTGTTATCTTTTTGGGTTTCTATTGAAGTTTTGTCTTTATCAAAGTTATATATACTTCTTATAAAATACTAAACCATACAGAAAAGTATAAAGATGAAGAAATCTAAAATCTCACCAATCATAGGTACTATTGATTTGAGATTTTATAATGCATTTTTTATATAATTGGAATCACAGTATATAATTTTGAACCTTGAATTTTCATCACGCAGTATAGTGTAACCACTTCTTTATAGAATTGGCAACATGTACTACTTGATACCATCTTCCCAGATGGTGCTAGTGGTACAGAATCTGCCTGCTGGTGAAAGAGACACAAGATACATGGGTTTGGTTCCTGAGTCGGGAAGGAACCCTGGAGTAGGAAATGGCAACCTGTTCCAGTTTTCTTGCCTGGGAAATTCCACAGAGAGAAGAGCCAGGTGGGCTGTATTGTCCACGGGGTGCAAAGAGGTGGACATGGCAGAGCTGCGCACATGTGTGCACATGCACACACACACACAACTTGGTATATATGTAGGCATAACATATCACAATTAAAGGGATTATTATGAATATTTAGGTGCTTTTTTCCTTCTGTAAATACCATTGAGGTGAACATTCCTGTACCATAGCCAGTTAAGATGTTGCCTGATTTCTCCACTAACAACTCCTCCCTGCCCAACACTAAAGATATATAGTCAGATGTTGGTATTTATGAGTTACTCAGATTAGTTTTTGTTCATCTGTCCATTTGTCCTTTCTTCCTATCTTCCCCTTCAGTATGGTTACAGTATTTTTCTTTTTTAATATAGTTAGGTTCATTTTTTTCAAGTTACTTTCAGTTTTAGGTGTTTTCCTCTTCACATTCCTTCTTATTTTACTTTTTACACATGTAGAATATTAACATGCTTTTCAGAAACCAAAACTTTTCAAAGCCAGCTTGTCTTGTGTACTCCATCTGCTGTCTTCTAGTCAAGGATTTTGTTATATCAGGTGTCTGCCCATCAGTAGTTTTCTTTTTTCTGCATCATTGTTGTCCACATATAGGCCTGCTGAATTTTCTCCCACCTAAAAAAGCAAAACTGATTTCTCTCCTACCTCACTGTCCCTTCCTTCTTAGGGTTCCTTGGCCTCTTAGTGGTCTTTAGCACAGTCTTTGAGCCATTTCATTTTTTTGGTCTCTATCTTGTAAACATACATATATAACATTGGAGATTATTAAATTTGTAGCTACTGAATAAGATTTCAATATCTAACCTAATTGGTATCTTCTCGGATATCTGATAAGCATCTCTTAATTAAACTACTCTAAGCCTAAATTCTGATCCTTTATCCCAAACTTACTTCTCCCTCTCTAACCCAGTAATTGGTGACTCTATCCTTCTCTCTGCTCAGACCAAAAACCTTGGAGCCATCCTTGCCTTCAGTCTGTATTATCAAATCCTGTTGTTTTAACTTCAAAGTATGTCCTGAATTGTTTCCTTCTTACCACTTCCTACTCTTCCAACTTGATCCAAGGCAACATCTTCTGTTACCTGTGTTATTGTAATAGTTTCCTGTCTGGGCTCACTGTTTCTGTCCATGTACCTCTTTCATCTCTTCTCAATAGAGTGATCCTTTAAAAAATTGTTCTCTTATCCTATTCTAGTCAAAACCATCTCCAGTCATTCTCATTTGTACCCAGAGTAAAATCCAAAGTCCTTAGGGTGGCTTAAAAGGCCCCAGATGATCTGGCCCCGGTTATTTCTCTGACTTCATCTCTTTTCTTTTTTGCCCTTGTTCATCTCCTACAGCTACAGTGGCCTTTTTGCTCTTTCTCAGACCTGGGTGTTCTTTCCTCAAGTTTTTTTCCTTAGCTTTAACTCTGCCTAGAGTATTCTTCCTCTAGATATTTGCATAGCTAGCTCCTTGGTTTTCTTCAGATCTTTGCCCATATGTTACCTTTTTAATGAGGCGTTTCCTGTCCACTCTTAAAAATGAAAAGATCCTTTGCTTGCACCTCCTATGTTATTTTTGCTTTGTTTTTTCCTCCATAGTTATCAGACTCTGACTTGTTATATATTTAACTTTGTAGATATTGGTTAGAATTTATTGAATGAATGAATGTGTAATCAGCCCTCTCTTTGTCCTTCAAGAGTTATCCATTTTTCTTGCTACATTCCAGATGCTGATCTCTCTTCTACTTTATACTCTCTCCTGCCTCAGAACCTTTGTATGTTTTATTCCCTCTACTTGGAAAACTCTTTCCTGCCCCCTTCTTTTTCTGGCCTAGTTAACTTCTACTGCTCATCCTTTAGATATCAGCTCAGAAGTCCCTATTTCAAAGAACCTCTGGATTAAGACCCCTGCTGTATTCACTCTTAGTCGTGCTCTTTGATCTCTCTCACCAACTAAACTGAGCACTTCACAAAGGCCAGAGCCTTGAGTATGCTGCCTGCCAGTGTATGTGTCTGAATAGTGAATCCTCAGTAAGTGTTGAGTTGCCCAAAAAGTTCGTTCAGATTTTTTCGTTTGGCCAACCCAATACTTACTGAATTAGCTCCCTTCAAGCACTGATACTCAGCCTTGAGGCAATGATACGTCATTCCTATGTGCTTAGAAATGGCAGCCTATCAGGAAACTTTGTATTTTCAAATCAAACATGATTGGTGGAAGTTTGAAATGACTTGGCATTATTGATCAACTCTGAGTTAAATATGAACTTTATATTGACTAAATCACTGCGTTGACATCTTGTGAGAAGATACGAATCCAGATAAGATCTGACTCAAGAAATTCTGGTTTAGAGTCAATGCAGAAGAATGTGCATATTGATTCTTATTGGTGTGTAGGGCATGTAAATAACCTAGTTCATTTTGTTACTTTAATATTTAATATCAAAAAAGGGTAGAAGACTGGCTAATAACTTTTTTGTTAGCTAGTAGTTAACTTTGTCAATAGTTTCACTTTTGAAAAAGTAAAGCTGGGTAAAGTTAGCAATTTTTTAATCTTTCAGGGTTGTGTTAAGAATTAATACATATGAAAGTACTTTAAAGTGCATGTGTAATTTATTCTTGTTACTATTATCATCTTTATTGGTTGTGACATTGGGCAAACAAGTTGGCTTCTCATTATATTTACTCTTGTAAAAAGTGGGAATAAAAGTAGTTTTGACTCTAATGGGTTATCATGAGAATCAGTAATGCATGCACTCAAAGAGAAGAGCTGCTACCAGTAAACCCTTGGAAAATGTTTGCTGTTTTTCTGTTATTATTTTCAGTCTCTTCTTTTAAGTTTAAGAACTTTCCTTTTAAAATCATTGTAGAGAATCTGCACTGTTTAATTAAAATTCAGAGTCAAATCTTTAATGTGACTTTTGGCACTTTCATTAAATACTTGGCGTGATGAATGGCGGCAGTGTTGGCATCTGCTGCTGCTTCTACTTCTGAAGAGTTATATCTCATTTCCTTTGTGATGGAATTCCAGCTGAGCTATTTCAAATCCTAAAAGATGATGCTGTTAAAAGTGCTGTACTCAATATGCCAGCAAATTTGGAAAACTCAGCAGTGGCCACATGACTGGAAAAGGTCAGTTTTCTACTTCTGCTCCACTGACTACGCTAAAGCCTTTGACCATGTGGATTACAACAAACTGTGGAAAATTCTTAAAGAGATGGTAACACCAGACCACCTTACATGTCCCTGAGAAGTCTATATGCAGGACAGGAAGCAATAGTTAGAATCAGACATGAAACAACGGACTGGTTCAAATTTGGGAAAGGAGTAGGTCAAGGCTGTATATTGTCACCCTGCTTATTTAACTTATACGGAGTATATCATGCAAAATGCTGGACTAGATGACTCACAAGCTAGAATCAAGATTGCCAGACAGCAAGGAGTTTAAACCAATCAGTCCTAAAGGAAAGCAATCCTGAATATTCATTGGAAAGACTGATTCTGAAGCTGAAGTTCTGATAATTTGGCCACCTGATGCGAAGGGCTGAATTATTTGAAAAGACCCTGATGCTGGGAAAGACTGAGGGCAAGAGGAGAAGCGGGTGACAGAGCATGAGTTGGTTGGATGGCATCACCGACTCGATGGACATGAGTTTGAGCAAACTCTGGAAGATAGTGAAGGACAGGGAAGCCTGGTGTGCTGCAGTCCATGGGGTTGCGAAGAGTTGGACTTAGTGACTGAACAACAGCAGTGTTTCCTTACCTCACTTGTGGATTGGTTAGTAAAATAAGAATATTCACTTCTGTGATGTTATCTATAGCAAATTAAAATGTAGTAGAGGCTGGCTCAAATCCTTGCATAATACATGGAAAATAGTAGATACTAAGTAGTCATAAGTTTGAAAGATATTAAGAACTAGAGCTTGAATGTATCTGGTTCTAAGATATTTAAATGTATGGTGGTGGTTTAGTCACTAAGTCCTGCCCTTGTGACCCCAGTGACCTCAGTGACCCCGGAGACTGTGGCCTGTCAGGCTGCTTTGTCCATGGGATTTCCCAGGCAAGAATACTGGAGTGGCCTGCCATTTCCTTCTCCTGGGAATCTTCCCAGTGCATTGATTGAACCCAGGTCTCCAGCACTGCAGGCAGATTCTTTATTGCTGACCCACCAGGGAAGCCCATGTTGTTATTACATTCTTTTTTCTTACTATTTACTTATTTTGGTCTGCGCTGGGTCTTGGTTATTGTTCACAGGCTTTCTTTAGTTGCGGCGAGCAGGATCTGCTCTTCACTGTGGTGTGCCGGCTTCTCTTGCCGCAGAGCGCAGGCCTGGGTGTGCAGGCTTCAGTGGGTGCGCCGCGCGGGCTCCGGAGTGAGGGCCGAGCGGTTGTGGCGCACAGGCTTGGTGCCCTGCATCAGTGATTGAACCTGCATCCCCTTCATTGGCAGACAGATTCTTAATCACTGGACACCAGCGAAATCCACTGTTACATTCTTAATGCTCTGTATATTTGCAAGAATGACTCAGCGGTACAGTAACTAACACTAAAATAAATGTCAATATGTATTCTCTTTCAGATTTACCAAAAATTTATCTCCTGACAAGATAAATCTTAGTACCCTTAAAGGAGAAGGTGAACTAAAGAATTTGGAGTTGGATGAAGAGGTGCTCCAGAACATGTTGGATTTGCCAACATGGCTTGCTATCAACAAAGTTTTTTGTAATAAAGCGTCAATTAGGGTGAGTCTTTGATATCTGTGCAAGGCATTTTCTGTTTTCATTTTATTTATTTCATCCCTATCGTTTAAAGTACATATTTTCTTTTCTGCATTATTTATTAATTTATTAATTTTGTTGAAAATTTAATATTCATATTTAAGCAATATTTATAGTTTATTAAAATAATTGTTAAGATTTGGTACATATTTAAAGTTTTCTTCATAGGACTTGTTGTCAAATGGGACAGCTTAAATTTGTAGTAAGTAGAGTCTACTTCAAATGAAGGCATAAGGACTGATAAGTTATCTTATTCTGGACATTATACTTTTGTTTGAAATTTTGTCTCTTTTCCCCATTTGTTTCTTATTTTGAGAATTTTAAAGTTTTTTTTTTTTAATATTATTCCTGCTTATTAAAACTTAAGTTTTTTTATTATCTTTGATTCTAACCATATTATTTTGCTTCTTTGTCTTAAAGATTAGGCTTAGTTTGAGCGCCTACTCAGTAGAAATACTGCATGCTAAAATTAAAATTAAAATTGGGCTACACAGAAAAGATTGTGGAAAGTTTGCTCGTAACCATCCTTTGATGGTCACCTTTAATTTTTATTTAATTTTTATTCTATCTTCCATAAACCCAAATGTCTTCAAAAAATATTATCCTTAGTATAGAATTTATTTGAACATTATTTATTTGATATTACTTCCATTTAACATTAATGGTCTTACTTTTATGTTTGTCTTGAATATCTACAAGGAAATTGGCTGGAATTCTAGAATTTAAAAGATTATTAAATGGGCAAAACACTGATTATGCTTTGCTGGGAATTCTTAAACTATAAAATCAAAATGTATCTTCAGAACTGGAGAAAAAACCATATTATTTTTTAGATAATGTTAGTAGAACCTGAAATTTTTATTTAAAAAGATGACCAAGAAAATAAGAATAATAATCTTTTTTAAAATAAAATCGATGCAGCTGATTTCAAGAGTATAAATGAATTGTTCAGTTTAAGTCATCTGATATAATTTGGTATGTCTGTCGCTGTGTTAAGGGGTCATCTGTGTTGATTACTGTCTTAAATTATTTTTTTGATGATTCATTTTAAAGAAAAATTTTCTTTTATAGATACCATGGACAAAATTGAAAACTCATCCCATCTGTTTGGTAAGTTCTGAATTGTCTCAGAAATAATTGTTTATATTTGTGTATAACTACTCTGTTAATATTTTGTTTCTTAGAAACATAATCTTATGGCTTTGTTAGCTTTCATTCTATTTTGATAGTATTTAGTTTTCTCAGTCTTTAAATGGGAAATTTGAACTTTAAAATGAGAGGGTCTTTAAAGTTCTTCAGGTCTAGAATATTATATTTTAAGTTAGTATATTTTATTGTATCTTTTAACTCTTTATTGACATACTGTGGGCTTCTTCTTTTAATAAAATTTGACCCAGATTTTTCTGTTTCTGCTTTTACTGATTTAATATATAATATGTTCTTTAATGTACTTTACTTTTTAAGGAAAATTGATTATTTGGTCATTTGCTGATTCATTCATTCCGCTAATACTTATTGAATGCTTCCCCTCTGCCCTGAGGGAACATATATCTTTATAAGGAGACTGACAGTGAACAAGTAAACAACACAAGGCAGTTTCAGACAAATTCAGTATTAAATAGAGAATGAAGAGATGACTGGAGATGTGCTAGTGAGGACTACTAAGGACATTCGATCTTTCTTCAAGAAAAACTTAGCCTGAGGAATTTTTTCATTATGAGAGTGTTTATTTTTTCATATTTTTTATAGTTACATGTTTTAAATCTCAGGTTTTAGATTGGGAGGAGCTTTCAGAAGTTGTTTAGTCCTATTTACAAATAAGTAATCCATCAATTAGTAATGTACATTCTGAGGTTAGCAATTACGCTTCTGTGAAACCTGATGGTCTCAGCAGTGTATGGCTGCTACTTACAGTTTTTTTCTCCTGTATTCCTGTAATAAGCTTTTCCAGCAGAAAATAAGTGCCTTGAGAAAGGACTGAGCATTTTCTCAGTCTTTAGACCTTTAGAGAGACATTTAAAATGGCTCTGCTTTATTTTCTTTGCTCCTAAAGAAATGAATGAGAAGGTAGTCTTAGATAATATCCTTATACTATACATAAAATAAAATATCTAATGTTTAATGTGTTTTTATTAGTCCTTGGATAAAGTCATAATGGAAATGAGTACGTGTGAAGAACCACGAAACCCAAATGGCCCATCACCAATCGCAACTGCTTCAGGACAAAGGTAAGCTATCCATTAATATGTATGATTGGCAAAGGAAATTTTTTTTCTATAGTCAGCTCTGTTATTTGCAGTAATAGGACATAAAATAAAATTTCCCAGCCTCAACTCTATTTCAGTCACTTCTCCCATCAAACATTTTATAGTTTTAGTAAACATTTTGCAAAAGTAGCAGAATTGATTTTTAGCCTCTTTTATTCATCTTGCTTTCCTTGATATTAAATAATAATGATCAGTCAAAGGCAGAACAGCAGCAGACAATGGAAGAAGAAGAGCTTAGGCATTCTATAAATCAGATAGTCTCTTATTTGGTCTCTGAACACTTTCTCTGCATAACATTTGTTCTCTGCATCAGTGGACCTTTTATGACTCTTAAGAGTTAAGTTGATGCCTTAAAAAAGTATGGACCTTTTAGGTTACTCTAAAATTCATTAAATATAGAACACTCACAGTTTCTACAGATTGAATTTTGGTAGATAAAAACCAGATGCTAATAACGTAGAAGCCTATGAAGGAGAGCATTTTACAAAGTAAAGGAGAGCAGTTCACAAAGCCATCTTGAGAAGTTAGAGTGGTTCTTAAAAAATAGATATTTAAAAATTTGCCTGTTTATCATTGCATTCAGTAAATTTGGATCTTGTTTTATGTATACAGTTTCTTCAAAACAGATTTTATGCACAATTTTTGGGTGGTACAGGCATTCATGTAAAAAGTTTACATAGATTTTAATGTGACTAGTGCCTCCTCAGGTTGTGCAGCGTGGCAGCCCTGGACATTTACAGTATTATAGGTGCTGTGTAGAACCAGGGATTAACTCTTCTTGAGACTGAATGTGCACATACAGGTACACACACATACTCTCTCTCACATTTTCCTCCTCTTTTACCAAGGTTGAACCATCTTTATATTAATGCATTCTATGAGAATACCTACAGTCTGATCAGTGACTTTTCACGTGGGAATAGAATGGTGATCCATCCACTGCTGAGAGTTGATTGAGAGCCAGATTTATCAGATATACAGTTTATATTTGGATTATAGGTAATAGTGATGGGGAAAAGAGCTTTCACGTTAACATTTTTGTAGTTTATGTATTTTCCAGCAATTTGAGATTTTAAAGTTTAGATTATGATTTCAGGTTAGATATAGTAGGTTGGAGCAGTTGATCTTAAAATTGGCTAGTCAGAAATATTGGAGAAAAAGGTGAAAGTGAAAATTGCTCATTTGTGTCCGACTCTTTGCAACCCCATGGACTATAGAGTCCATGGAAAACTCCAGGCCCGAATACTGGAGTGGGTAGCCATTCCCTTCTCCAGGGGATCTTCCCAACCCAGGGATCGAACCCAGGTCTCCCACATTGCAGGCAGATTGCTTACCAGCTAAGCCCAGGTAGGAGCAGTTGATCTTAAAATTGGCTAGTCAGAAATACTGGAGAAAAAACTGAGATGTTTATAAGACTATTAAAAGGGCAAAAGTAGTTCAGGAAAGTTGTTATAAACAAATGATTTATTTTAATTAGGTGTGGCATAAATTAGGTATTATTGTATGCTAAGCAGTTGACAGTATTTTTTCTGATTCATGTTTTTATAGTACCAACAAGCTTTATAATTTTGACTTTGGGTGTTAATAAATATGTTTTCCACACTTGTCAAATTGTAAGTCATTTAGGGTGCTTATAAAAATATACAGGGTTTTTTGGGCTCCTTTTTTGAAATTAATGATTCATTAGGTCTAGAATGGTTGTCAAGAATATGAATATATATCTTTAGTTCTTTACAGTCATGCAGTTTAGGGAGAAACTGATCCATTTGATTTTGTTTTTAGCTAAGAGGTTAAAATAGAGGGAAATTAACAATTAATAGGCTGGCCCTTCCTTCTGTGTAGGACCTATAAATCATTAGTGCTCCCATAGACTGGTAGTTTAGTAAACTTTGTAAGTTCAGGAATTTGATTTTTCACTTCACATGGAGATAGATGTCTATGTGGAGATTAACCAAACTCAGAAGAGATTTTTGTAAAGTGAAATTTAGTTTATAATAGACGATATAATCAGAAAGACGTACACTTTAGTCATTGATTCTTCCTTTACCCTTCTGATGGTAAATCCTCCGACACAATTGTAAAACTTTCTAACGTGCATAGATTAGAGTAGATGGCTTTGAATATTCCAAAGGGTATTCTCAGATAATTATTATAAAAATATTCTTCCAACTCCAGAAATGTTTCTAAGTGACCAATATTTGTTCTTAGGGTCATAATAACTCCTCCAAAATAACATGTTGCTTAAAGACCACACCAACATTTTGAAATAACTATTATTTTCATTTTACGAGTAAGGAAACTAAGGCTCATAGACTTGCAATAGTATTAATGAAACCATAATACTACTGTTTATAATACTACAAATAATACTTAATACCTTTTAAAGTATCATGAGTCCAGGGATGGTCTTCTTGCTTCATATGCCTTATTTCCTACAGTCCAAATGTAAGCTACAAAGTATATCCTGATTTAATAGATAAGTCATCTGAATTTTAGGAAAGATAAGTAATTTTATTTATTCATTAGGATAGTAAATCAAGAAGCATAGCAGGTATAGAGGAGCAATGTGCGTGATCAGTAAAAATGATGGCCTCACTTTATGGATGTTGGCTTTGAGATATGTGAGAAGCAGCCAAGTAGAGCTATCTGATGGATATTTGAATTTTACAGTCTGAAGTTTCAGCAAGAAATCTGATACAGATTTTGGAATAATGGTCTTGATTGAAGTAAGGTGCCAATTTTGCAAAAGCTTTCACCACCCCCCTGCCAAAATGTATTGATAATCTAGTTTGTATTTAAGTCTTGCTGTACTTATCATTTTTAAAAGCTTTTTATTTTGTATTGGAGCACAGCCGATTAACAATGTTATGGTAGTTTCAAGTGGATAGCAGAGGGACTCAGCCATACATATATACTAAATATATATACATGTATACTTATTCTTGAAACATGACCTTTATTGTTTCTCTGTGTCTTTGCTCATGCTTTTCCCTCTTTTAAGATTTTCCTTCCTTCTTATCTCTCCTTGAGGAAAGTTCATCTTTCTATTTTGGATATATTTCTCATTAATTCTAAACAGTTTCTTCCTCTACCAAGTGTACCAACGATTCCTTTTAAAAAAGCACCTAAAAACAGACTGCCTCATGTTTCAGTTACTAGGATATGTGTTTTTTTTTCCTCCCCCAGTAACTTTCAAGCCCTGTAAAGCCACAGCTGTCTTGGTTCCCTTAGGTCCTAGCATCGTTCACATGGTAGATGCTCCATGAGTGTCTACTGAACTGGACCCTGCGATGTGAACTTCTCTGGCCTTGCCCCTACACGGCGAGATTATATCCCAGCTGGCCTCGGCAGCCCCCTGTGTGCCAGGAGTTTAGCTGTCTGGTTACTTTATTGATGCCAGTTCTCTGCACTCATGCTTTTTAAAGCAAGCAACTTTGGATGGCAATTAAAATAATTTAGGCCAATTTTAAAAGCCTTGAGCATTTTGAAAAAATAAAAAATAAAAACCTTTAGCATTTTGAAATAGCTTTTTTTTGGTAACTTACATGTAACCAGACTAGATTGTTTTAAAATTCATTTTGTTAAACAAAAATGAGTAATATGGCAATTTGTGTGAGAAGATTAACAGAAAACTTCTTCACTTTTGATGATTTATTTTTGGCTTTAATGCATTATATTTTGCTTTGTTTTCTCAGTGAATACAGCTTTGCTGAAAAAGTAGTTGAAGGAATTACTGTTTCCGTAAATTCTATTGTCATTCGCATTGGAGCAAAAGCCTTTAATGCCTCCTTTGAACTTTCCCAGCTAAGAATCTATAGTGTAAATGCAAACTGGGAACATGGAGATTTACGATTTACTCGTATTCAGGATCCACAGAGAGGAGAGGTAAGGATTCTGTTTTTCTTTCTTTGTTTAAAAATGTTTTAGCATTGATTAATATTAAAGTATATTTAAAATAATTACTTTTTGTTGCCTATATTCACATACTACTAGATTTACTTTTTCCCATAAACTGTACTTTTCTCTGTATTATTTTTGTTTAACTATAAAATGTACATTTTTAATGTTTCAACTTAGAGAGTTAATGAGTCCTATTTTAACTTCTAAGCTACTCAGAATTGAATTTTAAATTTACAAAATTAAAATATGTTTTGTTAAATTCTTCATGGTTACATAATTCAAATGTTCTTTGTGTTTTATATTAAAATTAAATTACTTGGAATAAAAGTGTCAACAGCTTTACAGATGATGACTGTAATTATGGAGATGTGTTCCTGAATTTGAAAGTGTGTAATTAAAAGTGAAAGCGTAGTGACTAGATCTGGAGGACCATGTGACCATCTGTGAAGAGCTGCGTTTCCGTTTTTGGCTGCACTTGGTCTTGGCTGCAGCGTGAGTGCTCTTCTCTACCTGTGACACGCAGGGTCTTCCCTCCTTGCGGCCCCCAGGCTTCTCTGGTTGGCGCAGGGGCTGTTGCTCTGTGACATGTGTTGCTTCATGGCATATGGGATCCTAGTTCCCCGACCAGGAATCGAACCCATGTGCCCTGAATTAGAAGGTGGATTCTTACCATTGGACCACCAGGGAAATCCCACAAGATGCATTTTTGTAACTTTTTTTTTGTTTTTATAAATCTGCATTTTTCTTATTCCGTTTTGTGTTTGTGAACCTAATCTCTTGTTCTCCCTTTAGGTGTTGACCTTTAAGGAAATAAATTGGCAGATGATCCGAATAGAGGCAGATGCCACCCAGAGCGCACATCTGGAAATTATGTGCGCCCCTGTCCGCTTAATAACCAACCAGTCAAAGATCAGAGTCACGCTCAAAAGAAGAGTAAGTCAGCAGTTACCTTTTGATTCATGTGGCAACTATTGGAATTGATGAGAAATTTTAAATTATTTATAGGTGAAATATTGGCATATTAAAACAGTGCAAAATAAAAGGAAATATAGTGCCTCAAGCAATATTTGAAGAAATCTGGTGTGATGATACCATTAGGTTTAATATTAGTATTTTTATTTTTGATGAATTGAATAGATTTCTCAGTTACGAAATAGTAGCTATTTTATAATTTTATGTCTCCTGTTGAATATTCCTCAGGAGTGGGTAAACAGTAAAGTCTTCACTATTAGTAACCAAAACTACTAGTTTTAGAAGGCTATTAAGATACAACTGTATATTTAGATAAATATGGAAGGTAGCTGCTTAAGGATGTCAGCATCTGAAATCCATAGACTTTGATGAAATTTAATGTGGGAAAGTAATCACTTTTTTAAAAACGTGGCTCAATTAAAAGAATTTTTTAGAGTATGACACTTAATACAAATATTGTGAAATGTGGTTAAAAAAGCATTTTAGTTTTTAATTAATTTTAATGCCTCCTTTTCTACTAGAATTACAGCTGACCCTTGAACCACAGTTTTGAGCTGTATGGGTCCACTTATATGTGGATCTTTTTCAGTAGTGTATACTGCAGAACTGCATGGTCCAGGTTGGTTGGACCCAAGGATGCAGAGAAACCCTGGATATGGAGGAACCTTGGATACAGAGGGCCAACTATAAGTTATATGCATTAACCGCGGCATTATTCAAGGGTCACTTAGGGTTGCATTAACATTGATAATTATATGATTTAAGCTATAAATACAGAATTAAATTATACAAATGCTTATACCTCTGTAACATGTACCTGTTAAGGTAAAGGAACCTGTCAGTCTTTTTTTTTACCACTGTATCTCCAATACTGGGAGATATTTCTTCCATATTACAGGAACTCAACAAATATTTGGTGATAAAGGAAGCGTTTATTTAAATCATTGAAAAAATTTTAACTTTTAAAAAGTACAAGAGCATTATAAGTTTTATTACTTGGTTTAATTTTATGAATCATTTTTCCCTGACAGTTAAAGGACTGCAATGTCATTGCAACAAAGTTAGTTCTAATATTGGATGACTTACTATGGGTTTTAACGGATTCCCAGTTGAAGGCTATGGTACAGTATGCGAAGTCTCTTAGTGAAGCAATAGAAAAATCAACAGAGCAAAGGAAGAGTATGGCTCCTGAACCTGCACAGGTATGCTATTAACTGCTAATAGGAAAAGCACTTCACTTTACATGTAAGTGGTTTAAAAATCAGAATGGTTAGTTGTTTTCTCTATGTGAAATAGATTATAATACTTTGAGCCCAAGAATTTTCTTATATATCGAATATATTTCTGTCTGTATAGTACATATTTTATTTGCAAGTCTGTGCTTGGCACTAGACTTAATGATAGCATAAAAGTATTCTGATGTTACAAATATGTCTTTTCAGGAAATTTATAAAAATACAAGTTAAAGATTACTTAAGTCCAAAAGGAAAAAGCCTGGGTGATTTTAGTCAAGGGAGAGAATGTAAGGATTGACATAAAAGCCCTAGGGAATTGCTGAAGGTGAACACAAAGCTGTTAGAATTGTCTGATGGCTGGGACAAAAATGAGGGAAGCTATATAATGATCACTTTCTTAAAATTGGAAGCACTACTAGTTTTTTTTTCCTAAAAAGAAAAAGTTTTCTAACCTTTCCTAGCACTAAATACTGAGAATTTAACATGAAGATTTTTGTAGAAGGGAAATTGGAAATCTCAGCGTGTAGTGTCTTTTGATAATTTTATGAGTACGATGGACTTTTTATATCTATCCAATAAAAACTTAATGGATATTGTGAAATCATAATTCTTGAATTATTTCGTTGGAAATAGAGTGATTCCTGTCCTTCGTTGGTAATCTGACTGATACGTGGGAACTTAGGCTTTACTGTGACTGTCACGTTGGCATTGTTTACTGCCTGCCTGCTTTGTCATCAGGTGCAGGGCTAGATGCTGCTGATGTAGAAATAAATATTGTCTGAACCTGCCCTCAAGGATCTCAGAATGTAATGGGGAATCAGATGCAAAACAGATCATTGCAGTCCAGCATAAATGCCAGAGTGCAGAATTAAAAATGGGGATGAGGGACTTCCCTGGTGGTACAGTGGATAAGAATTTGCCTGCCAGTGCAGTAGATGTGGGTTTGATCCCTGGTCCAGGAGGAAACGGCAGCTCACTCTAGTATTCTTGCCTGGTAAATCTCATGGATGGAGGAGCCTGGCGGACTTCAGTCTGTAGAGTCGAACCCAGCTGAGCAACTGAACAACAACAGGAACAACTGGGAAGATTCCACATGCAGTGGGGCAGCTGAGCCTGTGCTCGGGAGCCTGTGAGCCGCAACCGCCGCAGCACTCATGCCTGGAGCCTTGCTCCGCCACGGGAGAAGCCCTGTACGAGAGGCCCGTACGCCGCAGCAGTGCGAGCCCCCTGCTCACCGCAGCCAGAGAAAGCCCGCACACAGCAGCGAAGACTCAGAGCCGCCACTGAAAGGAGGGATGAGGAGATTTTAATCAGCTGCTGTGGATGGACTTTGGAAAGGTTTCACAAAGAGGATAATGAAGTTAAGTCTGAAAAATGAGTAGGCGTTCACAGGTGAGAGAAAGGGCGTTTCAGATGAGGAAAGAGAGTCTACAAAAGTATGATGGTGATAGAGAGCATGGTATTTTCTGATAAAGATGAGGGGCTTAGGATTACTAGAGCATTATTTTTGAGAGTGACGGTACACATGCCTTGTGAATATGTGACAACTTTCCAAGTTTTAAGAAAATTGTTTCACTCTTCCATTTTGATGTATACTCTTTGTTGTGTTAAGATGTCAGTCTGGTTCTCCAGTTCCGTAGTTACTCCTATCCTAGTATCCTACTTTACAAATGAAAGGCATTCTTCTTACTCATCCTGGTTCTTACTGTGATAGATTTGTCAGGGGTGGATAGTGAGGTGGGCAGGAGGGTTTTGACCCAAAAATCTCTGGGAAATGACAGGCAATTTGAAATATTGCTGTCCATGTTGGATGTGAAGGACCAGTGACAAACTAACTCATTAGGTGATTTCCACTTCTTTGCTTTCAACATGTTTGAAGGAAGATGTAATAAATGTCTGCTGCTAGACTATTAAAAATAATTTTTTTTACAGTAGATCCCTTTGTGAATCCTGGCATGTAACTTGAAAGAGTTCATAGAATCGTGTTGCTTTTGCTAAAACAAAATTGACTTCATTCCAGCCTACCTATTGATGTGAACAAAGTTTCCCAGAGCTTTAAGCTATAAAAACAGAATTGATGGTGAACCTGTAGAGAATTGATGGTGAATCCTGTATCATTCTACCAAATAATTAATATTTATCCAATCAGATGTCTTTGTATATAATTCTCTGTGGGGATCTAATGTTAAAAGTTTGATGAACAGAGTACTGGATCATAGCATAGAATAGGGTTTTCCTGGGGAAGTAGCCTGAGTTCAAGCAAAGTGGCCACTAGACATGATGGGCATTATATGTTTACTTTTCCCATGGGCATACAGAAGTCAATGGAAACAGAAGTTAAGTATGACATGGTGGTATTATAAGAGGGTAGATTGAAGAGTAGGAAGGCTGCTACTCTAGGGAAGGGGTAGACTTGGATCTCTAGCAATGGTTTGAAAGAAGAAAAAACAAGCCAAACTGGGGAAAGATATTTGAGTGTTTTATCAGTTGAGGATAGAGAAGACAGAGAAGTTGAAAACTTCTTGAATAATTAGTAATTCCATTAACCAGAGGAATAAGTCCAGAAGGAAGCAGGTTTGATTAGGGGATGTAAGGCTAAGAAAAGGTAATAATGAGTTCCATTTTGGAGTGGAAAAAAATAAGAAAGTACAGGAGGTAATATTTTGCAGTATTACCATCATAAACACTAGCCTGTTAAAGCTTGCAGTGACGATTCATGTATTATAATTTAGGATGTCATTAACAGAGATGATAATTGAAAGATCAATAGACAAAGTGTTGATGTTACTATAGCTTATTTATGCAATATGTAGATAGATGTCTATATAAAATAGAATATAGATTAGGAAGCTATATAAAGATACAGGTTAGGAAATGAGAAACAAGGACAAAATTCTATAATGCTACTACCATAACAAAACCAGTGTTACCATTTTGAGGTATTTCCTTACAGATTTTTTTTTGCCTAAGCATCTGCATTATTTCATAGTTTAGAAAGGATGTAGTAGCAAATGGCTGTAGTTTTCTTCCGTGCCATTAGTATTTAGTTAGTCTTTTTTGTCACTTCTTAATGTTTTATGGTAGTTAAACTGAGCCACTCACATTACTGTGGGATGTCTTTCTTCAGTGGTAGTAGTCTCATCGCTATTTTAGGTGTCATCTGAGGCACCAAGGGTGTGCATTAGAGAGTGAAGTAGTTGTGTTCCTTTGCTCACCTTACAACTTCCGAGCTTTACGAACTTGAAAATTAAGAATTTTTAAAAGATTATTCATGAGGCAAGAGTTCATAGTGGCCACTTTCCCCCTACAAATAGCATCCAAAAGCCTGAATGTACCTTAGTATGAAGAAAAGAGTTTGTAGGGAGATTAATGCTTATGTTTTTATTTGTATCAGCATTTATCTTGATGAAAGACAGGAAACATAATTAAAGCAATTCAGGAGAGTGTTTTCTTTCACAATAATACCATCATAGCCATAAGTAATAGTCTGTAAGGCTTTAAAAGTGGATGGGGGAAAACATAAGAAAAAGTGATTTTTCTGATGAAAATCAGTTTAATAATTAGTAAAAAGCTTACTTGGACCTCTGGAATTTAAGGCTTCACAACTGTTACATCTTTGCTTTCCTTTAAATAATGTGGACCCCAGTCATTTTTATCAAGAGATTCTCATTTACTGAGTACACTTTGAAATTCTTTTTATAGTATGATTATAGTTCTTACTATGAAGAAGCTATATACTGTATATAAGCTGTATATACAGTACTTTAATTTTCTGTAAATAACTATACTTTTGTTAACGAATTGTTCTTAGAAAGTTTAAAAATATTTTTAATAACAAGTCTGGTCTTCTTTTGTTACCAAAGTTTCATGTATAGTTTTATGGTTAACAGATATACAGATCATCTCATAGTATACTTATATATGTAGAGTTACTTTAAGCTATTGAAAGTTCACAGATGTCTTTATACTTCAACAGTATACTATGTTTTCTCTGTTCGGGGAGAAAAGAATGTGAACTCACAAACTGTTATAAACCTGTGCTGTTTTCTGGCTTCTTCAAGTTCAGAAGACATGCCACACCTCTGAAGAGCACCTGTGGTACTAAATAATATTACAGGTGGTTTTACAAAGTAATTATTTATTTCTTCAGGGCATATAATAGTGTATGTAGCTAATGTATACAGGGCTCACATTTGTTTTCATTTTTTATATATAGAACTAATAATATTTAAATAAGCTTCCTTTAATAGTTAATAAATATATTTTCTCAAACAGAGGGCTATAAATATGTAAATATAGCTATTCAGATATTTACTAAAACATATTAGGTTCATATTCAGATTGTTTATAGTTCTCTAGTTTTTAGGTTTTAGTTTTATTCCTACATAATTTAGAAAATATTTTGGGGAAACTTAGTTACTGATGCAAAATATTTGCTTACTTTATGACTTTATTATTAAAAATATTTAAGTTTTCTTCAGTGGGGAATGACAAGTATTTAACTTGCAGTGACAAGGCAGCTTTAAATCTTTTAGAGCTCTGCGGTAGCCCCATCTACCCAGCATGCGAAGACACCACAGACTTCAAATGCTCCTGATCTAAATGACGCAATTGTGAAACTGTTCAGTGACTTTGATGTTAAAGAAACCTCCCATCATTTAGTGATTTCTCATCTAGATCTACATATATGCGATGATATTCATGCTAAAGAAAAAGGTAATGAAAACTGCTATTTGAAACTATTTTGGTTTTCTCTAAAATTTACTGCACATCTGGATTGTTTTTCATATGTAATAAGTAGTCTGTACTCTTAAAATAACTGGTCATAATTTTATCATTCATTGAGATACATAGATGAAAGGTATAATTTTAAGGATTATATATTGTAAAATTTTATTTTGCTTTGATAGATAGTGCCTCGACATAATTAATTGTTAGCTGTCAATACTAATGGTAAAATTAGTTTTTTTTGTTTTTTTTTAAAAAAGACTGACATCCTTAGAAGATAATGAAAAATTAGACTTGCCTTTGAATTAGCTTTTTTTTTCATAAAAATTCATTAAAATATGAATTTTTTTCATAATTTTGAAATTGTTCGTAAATTAAATTTTAGTCCATACTCAAGTCATAATTATTTGCATATGTATTTTCACTTGATTTTAGCCCAAAGGCTGAGAAGTGATACATGTATATTTTCAGCATTATAGTTGATATACTATTTTCCACCCCATGTGCATATAAACACAACTATGTGACTGTTTAAATTTTTCCTGTCTCCTTACTCCAGATCTTCCTTAAATTTGGTCAGGAAGCCAAATTCCAATTAGGAAAGTGTTTTCTTTTAGCTTTAGCTTCTCTTATTTTTCCTTATTTAATGAACACAGGTAATGGGTTAACAGGGAGGTGCCCTTGGTCACTTTGAAAATCTGTACTCTAGGTGCTAGGCATTTCTGTATATCCTTCAGAGCGTCCCTGGCCCATAATTGTTAGAAGGTTTCAGTGTCTTGCTTCTAAGACATTGGTTCTCACACCTTGATGAGCAGAGAGTCAAGCTGAGAATCTTTTATTTATTTTCATTTGTTAAATGTTTATTTCTTTTATGTTTCGCTGTGTTGAGTCTTCATTGCTTTGTGTGGCTTTCTCTAGTTGCAGCAGGCGGGGGTTGCTCTCCGTCATCGTGCACGCTTCTCATGTTAGTGGCTTCTCTTGTGCACGGGCTGTCGGTGCCCGGGCTTCAGGAGTTGCAGCACATGGGCTCAGCAGTTGCCGTTCGTGGGCCCGAGAGGACACAAGTTCAGTAGTTGTGGCACTCGGGTTCATAATTGCAACTTGTAGGCTCTAGAACGCTGAGTAGTTGTGGGACACGGACTTAGTTGCTTCACAGTGTGTGGAGTCTTCGCAGACCAAGGATCGAACCTGTGTCCTCTGCATTGCAGGTGGATTCTTGTCTGCTCTGCCACCAGGGAAGGCCAAGCTGAAACTCTTTTAAATGGAGGTATCTAACCTGTGGGCCTCAGACCTGATCAAAAACTATGTCTATGAAATTTGTTGCTGTGAATTTTTATAACCGTGAAAGTGAATATTGAGACCAGCCCTTGATACTTAGCCATAGAAGTTATCCTGCCTTCTCAGGGCAGCCAGATGTCAGCTGCCAGATAAAGAGCAGAAAAGGTTAAAGAAGATTTGAAGTTTGGAGAGATTTGTTGTCTTTTGTTTGTCTACCTTTGTGTCATTCAGCTTATAGGTGGCATCTTCTGCTTTAGTGATTTGAAAGGCAAATCAAAAAAAGTTAAAACAAACCAAAATATCAAAATGAGGGATCATGGTTAAGTGATAAGCCAAAAAACAGAGAAAAGTGTTTTCTAAGCTCTTTTACATTCCTCATTCTATATTCCCTTATCAGTTCAGTTCAGTTCAGTCGCTCAGTTGTGTCCGACCCCGTGGACTTTGCGACCCCATGGACTGCAGCACACCAGGCCTCCCTGTCCACCACCAACTCCCGGAGTCTACTCAAACTCATGTCCATTGAGGTGGTGATGCCATCCAACCATCTCATCCTCTGTCATCCCCATCTCCTTCTGTCTTTAATCTTTCCCAGCATCAGGGTCTTTTCAAACGAGTCAGTTCTTCTCATCAGGTGGCCAGAGTATTGGAGTTTCAGCCTCAGCATCAGTCCTTCCAGTGAGCACCCAGGACTGATCTCCTTTAGGATGGACTTGTTGGATCTCCTTGCAGTCCATGGGGCTCTCAAGAGTCTTCTTCACCACCACGGGTCAAAAGCATCAATTGTTTAGCACTCAGTTTTCTTCATAATCCAACTCTCACATGCATACATGACCACTGGAAAAACCATAGCTTTGACTAGACGGATCTTTGTTGGCAAAGTAATGTCCCTGCTTTTTAATAAGCTGTCTAGGTTGGTCCCTTATAGAATAATATAAAAGCTGTTATTTAAGGACAAAACCCCTCTGCCAAAATAGCTTCCTCACACTACAGATCTATAATCAGTTCTCTGCTATTCTAAAATCCAGAAGGGCCCGAAATTCTTTTTCACAAGTTTGTAAAGAGTTTATTTTCTGGCACAAGTTTATCCGTGGAGCATGTTGCTATTTATCATCTATATTTTACCCATTTAGTGTAAATACTTGAGTTTTGCTGAAGAATTACTGTCTTTCATTACTTTGTATGGACTTTCCACGTGGTGCTAGTGGTAAGAGAACCCACCTGCCAGTGCAGGAGACCTTAAGAGACACGGGTTCAGTTCTTGGTTTGGGAAGATCTCTTGGAGGAGGACATGGTAACCCACTCCAGTATTCTTGCCTGGAGAACCCCATGGACGGAGAAGCCTGGCGGGCTGTGGTCTATAGGGTTGCACAGAGTAGGACGTGGCTGAGCGACTTAGCACGCATGGCTTGGTGCTGCCTCAGAACCTGCTGGCAGTGGTGTGTGTGTGTACAAACACACACACTCTTACACACATACCATATTACTTTACTAAAAAGCTGAAGCAGTTCTGAAATACTTGGCTCCAAGTGTTTTAGATAAGGAATTGCAGTTCTGTGCTAGAAATTCTGCCAGGTGAGATAAATTGGAGTTAAATTAATATAGAGAGTATGTACATAGCTTTATACTAATTTGTATTTGTTTAGTCCATGCTGGGTCTTTTTACTTTTATTACTTTTGTTTTTGCCTGTGCTGGGTCTGCATTGTGGTGCCCAGACTTCTCACCGCAGTGGCCTCTGTTGTAGAGCACAGGCTCTGGGCACACGATTTCAGTCGCTGCAGCCCATGAGCTTGGTAGTTGTGGCCCACGGGCTCTAGAGCGCAGGCTCAGTAATTGTGGCTCATGGCCTCAGCTGCGCCACAGCATGTGAAATCTTCCTGGATCAGGGATCGAACCCTTGTCCCCTGCATTGGCAGACAGATTCTTATCTACTGCACCACTAGGGAAATACTGTCCAGGCTGTTTTAATATTTGATTTTTATGTTGGGGTTACGCTGACTGTTTACCTTTGGGTTTTTTTTTTTTTAACCTTTTTATTTTTTTCCTTCTAGTTTTATCAAGATATAATTGTCATGTAACACTGTATAAGTTTAAGGCATACAACGTACTGATTTGATTTACATATGTTATGAAATGACCATCATAGTAAATGTAGTGCCCATCCGTCATCTCATATAGACACAAAATTAAAGAAATTAAAAAATTTTTTCAAAAAAAATTTTTTTTCCTTGTGATGAGAACTCCTAGGATTTATTTTCTTAACAACTTTCATATAGAACATAGAGCAGTGTTAATTATATGTAACATGTTGTACATTATATTCGTAGTACTTACTTATCTGATAACTATGGAAGTTTATACCTTTGACTGCCTTTATCCTGTTCTCCCTTACCCTGTCTATTACTCATGTACATGTGGAATCTAAAACACAAAATACATGAACAGACATAACAAAATAGAAACAGTTTTAGATACTTCCAATCTTAGTGTAGCTATGTGACTAGATAATTCACCTAAACTAGTAGATTCAATTGCTTCTTCAGTAGGAGGCAAGATGATGTAATGTAGTGGTTAAGATTTCCTGGTTTCAAAACCAGCTCTGCACTTACTGGTTGTACAACCTTGACCTATTTAGTTTTGTTAAGTAAATAGATTAGTGTTACCTGTTTTATAGGTTCGTCATGAAGAACAAATAAGTACACTTAAAATTTTTAAAACAGTGCTTGGCATCTGGTTAGGGCTGTAAATATAAAAGTTCTGCTATTCTTGTATCTTCACCTTTTAGCTTAGTACTTGCATATGATAAGGACTCATAAATATTTACTGGATTGAATGCATTTCCTAAAATCCTTATTGTATTAACCTTGGTAACAGAGATAGTTGTCACTGCTTGGACTGCCAGTGTGGTAAATGAAATGTTTCTGATATTTGCTTAATCCTTCTTTCTTTATTTCTCTTTCAATTTCGTTTTTTTTTTTTCCCCAGAGTCAAACAGACGTATCACTGGAGGGGCTATGCAACTGTCTTTTACACAGCTAACTATAGATTATTATCCTTATCACAAAGCAGGTTTGTATAACAGTTTCTTTAAATTATGTAATTCTTGCTTTTAAATTATATAGCCAATCTATTGCATTTGTTTTTTTTTAATTTTTTAAGGAGAAAAGAGATCAAGACACTTAATATTTTTTCCCTTGGCCAGTATCTTATGAAGAAAATATAATTGCCATAGAAAACATTCATGTAGTTTATGTTGAGGTTTATGTAGATAAATGGCAAATATAATTGTTAGAAATTGAGAAAGATTAGAATATAGAAGACTACATTTGTACTGTATTGTATTTTGTTAGCTGTGACAAAAGAAAGTTATTAATATGTTTTGCATTTTAAATTATATATTCAAAAATCAAAAAAGAAAGAAAGCAAAAGGGTAACAGTGATTTTAGTTAAGTTGTAGGATTCCAGGTACCTTTTTTGAAACTTTTCTGTACTTTCTAAATTTCATCAATAGGTAAGATTTAATAGATTCTTTAATAATTAAATATTGATAGGTACTCCCCCTCCCCAAATAATGAAAATGAAAACATGTACGTTTATGGCCAAATTAAGTAATTTGACCTTATATCCATTTTTGCATTTTGGTGGTATGTGACTTTTATTTTTTAATTCATACAAATAAGGAAAAACAGATAGCTATAAAGAGTTTTCTAGGACTTTTAAAATATGATCAAATTTTTCTCTTCACAAATTTCAATCTCCCAGTATTGTTCATTTCTGTGTTAGTACCTGATAGAATTTAAAGACTGTGGTATTTAGAGTTTTGTTTGAAGGACTTTGTGTTACTTTGTCTGTCCTCCTGATTCATTGGTTACTTACATATATTGAATATAATTTTTACCATAGAAATCTTTCTTATTTGCGAGGTAAAACTTGTAATCATAAAGTAGATTTCATTTTTTTAACCCTTTTATGTAGATATCACTTCTCTTAGTTGCTACAGAAAGACTTAATAATCCTGATTTAAAATTTTTCCTCCCGTGCTCGCTTCGGCAGCACATATACTAAAATAAAATTTTTCCTCCAAAGATATATACATACCAGTATATCAGCAGTTACTTTACCACACATCTTTGATGAAGAACCTTTTTTTCTGTATGGTATTTTCCAGGATTCTGTCTAATGGGGTTAGGCCGGGTGGGTGAGCATTTAATGAAGCTTGACCGCCAGTGCTGCTTCTTATCGAAACTTGAGTGATGGTCTGCTAAGCCTGGGTTCTAGATACAAATCCTCCCTGATGATTTTCTTTTGATACTCTCCCTCAATTCATATTTTGTGGGAAGATTAATGTCTGTAGTCAGTGAAAGCTTCAAATTTATTGGAAGATTAAAGAATCCCTTGAGAAAATGAATATATTACTAGAAGCTTTCAGTTCAGTTCAGTTCAGTTGCTCAGTCGTGTCTGACTCTCTGTGACCCCATGGACTGCAGCACGCCAGGCTCCCTGTCCATCACCAAATCCCAGAGCTTGCTCAGACTCATGTCCATCGAGTCGGTGATGCTATCTAACCATCTTATCCTCTGTCATCCCCTTCTCGTCCCACCTTCAGTCTTTCCAAGCATCAGGGTCTTTCCCAGTGATCAGTTCTTCGCATCAGGTAGCCAAAGTATTGGAGTTTCAGCTTGAGCATCAGAAGCTTTGCTATAATGGAATATGTGAAAAGTGCATTTTTCAGTGAAATACTTGTTATTCACTTTACAGGAGATAGTTGTAATCATTGGATGTATTTTAGTGATGCAACCAAAACAAAAAATGGATGGGCCAACGAGTTATTACATGAATTTGAGTGCAACGTTGAAATGCTTAAACAGGCTGTAAAGGATCATAATGTAGGTTCACCTCCTAAATCCCCAACACATGCCTCTCCCCAGCACACACAAACAGGTATTTTACCTTAACAACATTATGTCACTCCCTTAATATTAATTGTGTATGTGTATATGTGAGGATATATGTGTATGTTCACCATATGATATTTTATGTAAATAAGTATTGTGTTTAATTAATGTCTAAGAAACCTGTACCTCATTCAGATCATAGGATTATAGATAAAAGCACTTTATAAATTAATATGACTAATAGAAGTAATACCCCTGTAGAATATTACAGACTCCTAAGTGACAGGTAGATTTCTCTTTTTAACAGGAGTTCTACCAAAAGTTATTGTATGAGAGTTTTTTAAGTGTGATATGAGTATGATTCCCATTTGAAGAATAATTCTCACAAATAAGAAACTAATCATCATAGTAACTTACATTCTTATATCAGTTTATATGTAAAGTGTTTCCACATATGTTATCTTGTTTGAGAAGTTAGGGCTCATCTATATTTCTAGTAGCTGATTAACAATAAAAGAGTGGCTGTTAAAAATAATTTTACTCTAAATTGAAAGGAATTTTTGTTTCCTACAGAGAAAGATTCAGCTCTTAAAGGGGCTTCCAAAAAGCCTTCAGCGTTATCTCAACAATCCAAAGTGAAGTTAATGTCTAGTTCTGTTGTGGTTAGACTTGCTGATTTCAATATATACCAGGTATGTTTTATTTTTTAAATTAAATCTTCTGATAAACACCTTTAGTATCTCCTGCAAGCAGCTCTTATCAACTGTGCCACCATTTTATTTATAAATATCTTGACCAGTTTTGTGAAATGACTAAATTAGAATAGGAAATACCTGTTCATTAATTTTTGTTTGCCTGGTTACCTAGAATTGGGCAAAATGTGAGGTTAAGTGCTCAGTTTCCCATACTGCTAAGCTTGCACAAGACTTCTGACACCAACCATAGGTTTTTGGATTTCCCTGAATGGCCCACAGATTCGAGAATTCACTAGAAAAACTCACAGAACTCACTCAAATCAGTCCTGCTCAGCATCTCACTTATTGCAGGGGAGGGATATGAGTTAGACAACAGGAAGAGAGCCCAGAGTGAAGTTGGAGAGGGCTCCAAGTTCAGAACATCCTTGCCTCCCAGGATGAGCATTTAATAATTTGCATGACATATTGCCCATGTAGTTGAATACAGTCTCTATGGGTGGACTTGATTCCAGATGGCACAGCCTTCACCCTCTAAATACCACTAAGACTATCAAGTGTGGTCAGTCCCATTCTGAGTCATCTTGTGAAGCATATACTATCAGTTGTGGTCTCAGAGGTCTTCCATGAATAGGAAATTCCAAGAGTTTAGAATTAGCTCCCAGGAGCAGGAACAAAGACCAGACCTCTCTTTGGAGGCCGGATTCCATATTACACAAAGGTTTTCATGGAAGAAACTAAAATACAGTTTTTGCTTAATCAGACTAAGTATTGGCTATCCTGTGAACATTGCTTTATAGCTAAGGACTCTGTCCCATTTATACTAACAGTCTTATTCAGGCTATAATTATACAACCTGGTCTGATACCCCAATCGTTGAGACCAACACAATAGGGACATGAACCTTTTTTTTTTAAATAAAGGATTTCAAGTATATATTATCATTTATGAATTATTCTGGTATATTTTGATAAATCTATGTCTTTGAAACTTGGTTTTATCTGAAAAGTTTTCATTTTACTTAGTAATTTTTGACTGGGGCCAGTTATGCCCTGCAGGGGACACTTGGTGATATCTGAGGACAGTTGTCACAACTGGGGGGCGGTTGTCACATCTGGAGGGGGTTGCTGCTGATGTCTAGTGGGTAGAGAGTGATGCTGCTGAACATTCTACAGCCCCACAGCAAAGAATAACCTGGCCTCAGATATCAATGATACCATTTTGGAGATGCATTGATGTAAGAGTTATTTTCTTATTGTACAGTTGTTTCTTTCTTAATATTCTATATGTAATGCATTATATTTGAATTAAGTTCATATGGATATGGGGAAGGAGGATCACCCGTAGTCCTGTATGATTAAGGATGAAGGACAATAAAGAAATCCCACATACACAGAGAACCAAAACAGAGCAAAAGTAACTGGAAGAAAATAAGATAGTATGTTCATCCCAGTTTGGAAAACTTTTTAACTATTAAAAGAAAAAGGAAAAAAACTGTTATCTACTAAAATAACGTGACACTCTAGAGTTGAAAAGAATTTGTTTCCATGAGTACATAGAAAAACTTACTAGATAATATAAGGGACTGACTTAAATTTAAGAAGACTGTACAGATAATCAAAAGGTTTGATTAGCAATTTATAAAAGGGAAACAAACCAGTGAAGAGTATCTACTTTGTGTGAGAAATATACATGTTTGTTGAATGAACAACAAAAAAAAACTTTGAGATACATCCCTGGGTCTGCTAATAAGCAAGCATAAATAAATGAAATTGATAAGATGCTATCTGTTGAACTTTGGAGAGGTTCGTATACATGCTTTTGATATAATTATAATTAGCTGTTTTGTGGAGAGTGAAAGGTGTGTAACGTGAATCTTAAAACTAATAGTTTTTTTGGAAGAAAGCTCAGACTGTTTGATAGGTGCATTTATAGTTGTACTGTTATTTTTAAATTTTTATTGTGGTAAAATATATATAACATTTATCATTATAGCCATTTTTAAGTGTACAGTTCATTGACATTAAGTATATTCACATTATTGTGTGATTATCACCACTGTCCATCACCATAATTTTTTTATTATTCTAAACTAAAGGTCTGTATTTAGTTATATTATTTTTCATAATAATGAATTATAGTAAAGAATTATTATGAAGTGCATAGTTGGGAAGTAGTCTAGTCTTTAAAACTTGAATCTTGTCCTGACTCTGCCATTTATATATTTGTACTGTCTTCCAGAAATATTTTGTTGTTGTAAGCCTCAGAGTAGTAAATTTGCAAAGAAATTTGTACAAAATTGAGTTTGTAATTGATGAGAATCCAAAGAGGTTTTGGTTTTATAAGTTGATTTGTATTATTTTAAAACAGTTTCATGTGAAATTAAATATATAATAAAGATTACAGTGGCAGTTAATTATTGGAAATAGTTTTAAGAATTTGAAGTGATGTTTGTGTTGCATAAATCTTTGGTGGAAAGGGCTTTGTTTCATGTTACTTCAATAAACTTAATTTCTTTTTTTAGGTCTCTACAGCAGAACAATGTCGATCTTCCCCTAAAAGTATGATTTCTTGCAATAAAAAATCCCTGTATCTTCCACAAGAAATGTCAGCTGTCTATATAGAGTTCACAGAGTATTACTATCCAGATGGGAAGGATTTTCCAAGTAAGAGCATTCCCTGTTTGGTTTTTGCTTGTTCATTACTCATGAAGTTTTATTTTTCCTTGCTAAGTTTTTGAGTTTTATAAATGTGAAAAAAGAAAAACAGAAGTCTATTGTTCTTTACCCTTATAATCATTGTGTTTTGTATATAACTCTAGTAGAGCATTTTTACATACTTATTTGTTTCTGTGTTCTTTTTCCTTACTAGCTTGTAGCATCGTTCGTGTCAAGAACTGTGTACTATTCATAATTTTATTCCTGAGGTTTGACTCATTTTTGTTCTTAGCAGCTGTTGTTAAATGAAAGAATGAATGAAAGTTAGATTATTTGTAGAATAAGATCAATGTTTTTTCTTTAGCAAAACTCATTTATATTTCATTTATATAAAACTAAATATAGTAAACTGTAATGTAATCATTACATAGTAAACTATAATGTAATGTAATCATTCATTGTAAACTGGATGAAGTTACCCATTTAGCTATAGAGAATTTGGGAGGCTGGATTTTGATACCCAAATGTATACTTTGGACAACTTTTAGCACTTGTCTTTAGTTAGAAACTTTGAGTTACATGAATTTTTATTTGTAAGTTACTTTATGACTATACATTTGTGTTCTTTGCTATTGTCTCAGTTCATCTGATTCTTCAAACAAAAATTTGCCTTTGTTCATATAGTACCTTTTTCATTATTTTGGTTGAAAATCATAGTTGAAAAAAGGTGTTTAAATGAAATGGCTTATGTTATTTTTAATTTTAAATGGGTTAATTTTTAAGTGGAACTCCAAATTCTCTGGGCTACTTAGCCCATTTGTTTACTATTCACTTAATATAGGTTTTTAGTTTCAAAGGGAATTTCTGATGCTCATGTCTTTTTTGTAAAAAAGAAGATAGCCTGGAAATTACTTTGAAAAAAAAAAATTAGACTATTTTATTTCAATCCTCATTTGTACCAATTGTTTAGGATCTAATCCTCACCATCTTCATGCTTTTCAGTGGTCTTTTTGTATGTTTCAAATGTGTTTTCTCTTCTACCTTCTTGACAGAAACTGAAAATTAAGATAGGTTAAGGCATTTGTTCAGCACCTCATAAAGAATAAAGTGGCACAGCTGAAACTCAAGTATAGGTTTTCTAAATCAAAATTTTTCCCACCCCATCCCATCCTCACCCTCAAATTATATTTCACTGCCCTCCAGTTGTTTACAATCATTTATCTGTAATTGGATAATCCTTTTGTTTCCAACACCCCCCATTGTTTTCCTTAAATAATGTCTCATTCATTGAACTAGTAATTTTTCTTCAGAGTAAAACCTATAGTTTCCAAGATTTCTGACTTCTAATCTAGGTTTCTTTTTATCAGTTTTGTTAATGTGCACCAAGGGAATTAAAATATTCTATAATCTATACATTTTCTTTTGATAAAAATATAAAATTCCTTCACAGCAATTTGAATCTGAGCTCCCTAATATTTAGGAGTGAAACTGGTTGGTTATGTTTAGCTACTTTTAACTTTTTATTATGGAAAATTTCAAACATATACAGAAATAAAGAGCATGACATATTGAATCCCTATGTACGGGGATTCATTTGCAGTTTTCACATTTCATCTTTCTGTTAAGTGCTCCAACTTTAAAAATGTATAATCTTTTCTTTATAATTGTAAATATAGCATGCATTCATTATACATTGTATATAAAGAAAATACCCCCCCCCCCCCCCAGGCAAAAAAATGCCCTGGAACCTACAGTTTAGAGAGAACTTCTGCTAATAAAAGTGTATCAGTTTGCTAAGGCTACCATAATAGAATACGACAGGCAGTGGTTTAAATAGCAGAAATTTGTTTACTCACAATTCTAGAGGCTGGAATTCTAGGTCGAAGTGTGGGCATGGCTGTTTCCTGGGAGACCTCTCTTCCTGGCCTCTAGATGGTTATCTCCGCACATGGCCTTTCCTGTGTGTGTCCGTTTTCTAGTCTCCTTATCACACCTGTCATACTGGACTAGGGCCACCCCTGTAAACTCATTTTGACTGTAATTGACTTTTTAAAAGGCCTAACTCCAAATACAGTTATTCCTGAGGTATTTGGAGTTAGAACCACAGCTTATCTATTTGAGGGGATGCATTTCAGACCATAACAATAGGTATAGTGTTGTTAGTCCTGTTTTGAATGTATGCGTTTGTTTAACATACTTGATTTACATTCTGACCTTTCCCCTTAATGAGCCTAGTTTTCTGCAAGTTTATTTTAAATATCTTTAATAGCTATGTGATAACCTGGTTCATAAGCAGACGCCTGTTAGAGACTGCATATAGATCTTTTCACTGCTTAGTGTACTGAGTTTCTTCCTCTGTCCCAGATCTGCGGTCAGAGTTCTTCTGTTCTTCTGGGCTACATTTACTCTCTAGTTCTCTCTGTGACTGCCATTATCACTACTCTGTATTTAAAATTCCCTCTTCTTTTTTCCCCAGTGTGATTACCTCAGCAGCTCTCCCCCTTACTATCCTTGAAGATAAGCACCTCCACATCCCCAATAAGATGTCTCTGTTGTACTTTAATTTTTCTACTTTCATATATGTCTCTTGTAATCACCCATGCACTTTTAAAGGAAAGATCTGTGACCTTTTTTATATTCTTTGTGCCTAATACAGTACAGTAAATGTAGTTGGCTTCTTTGAATCTGCTGAAAGAAAGTAAATGAATGAAAGAAAACAAATCCTCTTCAAGACATTGTTACAATGTCATTTCTCTACTGGTATCTCACACCTTGTGTTTATTTTGCTTAAATTAGCATAGTTTAAAAGTTCTAGATATTCATACTGTTTGCTTTGGTAAAAGTAAATAGGTCTGAAATTTTGGAATAAAAGATCTTCATCAAAATACTCTGAAAATGATAATGGTTTTTATGAAGCAATAGATACAGATTTCAGGGAGTGATACACTCTAATTATGAATATTAGTTTAACATAAATTAGCACTAAAACATTTATTCAACCCAGAAGAGTCCAGTGTTTTGGAGGATCTATGAGTGTATTTGTTTGATTATTCAAGATATACTTGATTTTTTTTACTTGGTACCAGATACTGTTCTAGGCTTGGGATTAAGTGGAGAATAGAACTTGTGAATTGTCCCTCCTCAAGAACTGTCTCACTTAGCACTTTCATAAGAAATTAGTCATTAGGCTTGGTTCTTTCATTTTAGAGAATTCAGATTAAGTCAGGTAGTAAATCCTTGTAGAAAGACATGACTGAGGATCACAACTTTGATGTGATACTTTGAGCAAGAAGGTAAAATTTTTGAAGTTTGCTTCTTGGCGACTGTAACATTAGGAAAAGAAATCCAAACAATACCTCTTATTTATGCAGTCAGATTTAGATCGAACTGTCTATTTTTCTGTTAGTGAAGCATTGAAGATGTTTCCTGTCTCTCCAGACATGTTTGCTGCCATCCCCTTCCAGATACAGTACCACTTAAATTTTGTAAATAGCATTGTAAACTGTTTTAATGTCAATGTGGAAAGAATAAAGCTTAAACATGTATTTTCTGTTCTCAGGGAAGATTTAGAACTATCGGTTTAAAAATCTTTCTAAATTTTTTTTCTCCGCAGTTCCATCTCCCAACCTTTATAGCCAGCTGAATGCACTACAGTTTACTGTGGATGAAAGAAGTATTTTATGGTTAAATCAGTTTGTGTTGGATTTAAAACAAAGTCTTAATCAATTTATGGCTGTGTACAAGTTGAATGACAATTCAAAATCTGATGAGCATGTTGATATTCGAATCGATGGCTTAATGCTAAAGGTACCATATAAACAAGTGGCTGTGAGAATAAAACCATTTTTACAGAAGAAAAGTTAACAGCATTGTAATTTCCAGGATTTAAGATGGGTACTCAAATATAAGTCAACTTCATTGCAATCTTAATTTTAATTTTAATGTTTTCAATTATAGAAGCTTTAAGGGACTGCTTCCTCTCTCTTCCCCATTCCTTCTTTCTCTACTTTTCTGCTTTTTTTATTTTTTCCACTGCTCATCCATTTGGAGGTGAGCAGTAGAGATCAGTTGTTTTTCCTTTATTCTTTGTTTTGTTTTTGACTACACTGGGTCTTCGTTGCTGTGCTCAGGCTTTCTCTAGCTGCTGTGAGTGGGGCCTACTCTTACTGAGGTTGCAGGCTTCCCAGCGTGGCGGCTTCTCCTGTCCAGAGGGTGGTTTGTAGGCGCCTGGGCTGCAGTAGCTGCAGCGTGCGGGCTCCGTGGTTGTGGTTCACAGACTCTCCAGCGTGGGCTTCAGTGCTTGTGGCGCATGGGCTTAGTTGCCTGGCAGCATGTGGAATCTTCCTGGACCAGGGATTGAGCCAGTGTACCCTGCACTGACAGGTGGATTCTTAGCTACCGCACCACCAGGGAAATCCTAAATGTCATTTTTTTCCCCCTGCTTCTTACAAGAGCTGATAAAAAATTTTTTAATAAGGGTAAATAATACAGTGAAGTTTTAAAATTGTGTCTGGGCTTTAGTTGTTGCATTTATTCTGTTATTAACGTCTAGAGGTAATGGAAAGTTCCTTTTTATTGCCACCAAGTAGTTGATAATCAGAATTCCATGGATATTTGAACTTTAAAGGAAGGAAGCTAAAAAAAACAATAGTATAGTTTGAACTCTTTGTTGTAAATATTTTGAAGACTGGGCTTTATTATCTGTAGAAAATAATTTTAGTAAATAGTTTGACCTATACTCCTATGTTTATTTTCTTAATAGTTTTCTCCCAAATAAATGACTCAAATGACAATTATCCAGTCATTCCATTTACTTATCTAGTGATCCTCTAGATCACTTGAATTTAAAATATGACAAAAAATTCTCTTTTCTAAACTTGGCACTTAGATACTCAGTGCGTATGTATATATATACACACACTCAGGGCATACTAAACATTTAATAATTTATTTACTTGATTTAATTAAGTTTTGTCCCTTTTATTTTGTAATAGTCTACAAATATCTGTGTTATGTACATCTTTCATTGTGGTTTTTTTCCCCCTTTGGTTCTTTTCTTAGTTGTTAATCATTTAAGCCTTTTTTATTTGGTTTAATAAGATTTGGGGGGAGAGAATATTTTATGTCAGGATAGAAAAATACTGTTTTGGGGGAGAAATGTCAAAAAAGGATTTCTGTGCTGTCATATTACTTTATCTTCAAGCTGTGTGGATTTGTAAGTCAGCCTAGATTAGTTTTTTTTTTCTCTTCTAGTTTGTCATTCCTTCTGAAATGAAATCTGAATGCCATCAAGATCAACCACGTGCAATTTCTATTCAGAGTTCTGAAATGATTGCTACAAATACAAGACACTGTCCAAACTGTCGGCATTCTGATTTAGAAGCTTTATTTCAAGACTTCAAAGACTGTGATTTTTTCAGTAAAACATATACCAGTTTCCCCAAATCTGGTGACAATTTTAATATTCTACATCCAATCTTCCAGAGACATGCTCATGAACAGGATACCAAACTGCATGAAGTTTATAAAGGCAATGTTACCCCCAAGTTGAATAAACACACTCTTAAAACCTCGGCTGCCACGGATGTTTGGGCTGTGTACTTTTCTCAATTTTGGATAGATTATGAAGGGATAAAAAGTGGAAAAGGACGACCAATAAATTTCGTAGATTCCTTCCCTCTTTCCTTCTGGATTTGTCAACCAAAAAGGTATGCAGTGTCACAAAAATCACTGCAGACTTGTAATCAAACTTCTCTAAATACATCACAAAGTGAATCTAGTGATCTGACTGGCCGATGGAAGCGAAAAAAGCTCTTGAAGGAGTATTACAGTACAGAATCTGATCCCTTGACCAATGGTGGTCAGAAACCTTCTTCAGATACATTTTTAAGATTTTCTTCGCCATCATCAGATGCAGATATTCATGTCTTGGTTCACGTTCATAAACATGTCAGTATGCAAATCAATCACTACCAGTATTTGCTCTTGCTTTTCCTCCACGAGTCACTTATTTTGCTTTCAGAGAATTTAAGGAAAGATGTAGAAGCTGTGACTGGTAGTCCAGCTAGTCAGACATCTGTTTGCATCGGAATTTTACTTAAAAGTGCAGAAGTGGCTCTTTTGCTACATCCTGTGGATCAAGCAAATACCCTTAAGTCTCCTGTTTCTGAAAGTGTGAGCCCAATGGTTCCGGATTATTTGCCTGCAGAAAATGGAGAATTTTTGTCTTCAAAAAGAAAACAAGTTAGTAGTGGAATAAATCAGATTAGAAGTATAACTCTTAATCATATGTCAGACAACAGATCTATGAGTGTTGACCTTAGCCATGGCCCTTTGAAGGATCCTTTGCTTTTTAAATCAGCTAGTGATACAAATCTGCAAAAAGATACTTCTTTTCTGGATTATTTATCAGATAAAAATTTAGGGAAAATAAGCGAAGATGAAAGTAGTGGACTTGTTTGCCAAAGTGGCTCAGGAGAAATTGGATCAGAAACAAATGGCAAAAAGGATTCATCTTACACAGATTCAAATAGTGTCTTAAACTACAGAGAAGATTCAAGTATACTGTCATTTGATGATGGTGGTAATCAGAACATACTTTCAAATAGTTTAACTAGTAAAAGAAGTGAAACCATAGAGTCAATCTTTAAGGCTGAAGATTTACTTCCAGAAACAGCTTCACTGTCTGAGAATGTGGAAGTCAGTAAAGAAGAAGCACCCACCATCAGAACACTTAAATCGCAGTTATCCTTAAGGTAATGACTTACTGTTGGATTTGGATTGGGAGTTTGTTTAATTGTGTGTGTGTGTGTTTGTGTGTGTGTGTGCATGCACACGCACAACACACAAGCATGTGCATGTGCTTTGGACAGAAAATCGTGGTAAATGAGGCATTGTTAAAACTAATACATGGAAAAATAAGTTTTTAAGAATATGAAAATACTTTGAGCTTATCCTTAGATAATATGATTTTAAAACTTTGTGTATATTATATATATATTTTGTTTGATGTATTCTTTAGAAAGTATCCTTGTCCTTTTATGTGATGTTCTTCTGGTGCTGTTGTTTGTTAACAGTGGAAAGCCTAAGGACCGTTGCCCATCCAACTTGGCTCCACTCACTGTTTCTTGTAAGAACATGAGAAGAAGCCCCTCACAAACCTCCCTGGACACCATTTCACTTGACAGCGTGATGTTGGAAGAACAGTTATTAGAAAGTGATGGAAGTGATAGTCATATATTTTTGGAAAAAGGTAAAGCAATACAATTTAAGAATTTATATACACACAAATCCTAGAAGTGGCATTTAAGGTTTTTTAGTTATACTGAGTAATCAGTTATAGCCTAAAAAGATTTATTTATACACACATATACACACAATACAAAGAACATTGTACCTAACTTCCTAATAGTTGTTCTAGAGCTTCTTTTGACCACATACTCCTTCCTTCTTATGGTCAATGTTTAGCAGTTATTTATATATAGTCATTTAGAACATAAAGTTATTTATATATAATCATTTAGATCATAAAATCATTTAGATCATTAATGCTACTAGCCTCTATCACAGGGACCCCTGTATCTGGAATTTGATTAGATTGGCTTAATTTTGCATGATGAATTCTCAACTATGACTGTAATTTTCCCAGTCTCTGTGGTTCTGTGACTGTAATTTTTCCAGAATGGATCTTTGTGGTTCTATGACTGTGGTTCTATGACTGTAATTTTTCCAGAACGGATCTGTTGATTGCCATAACCAGAATTCTCCTTCATATGTGACAGTGTATGATGGAACTACATGATTCCCCTATTTTATTAAGAAGCAACGAATGCCCCAGTACAGACCATTAAGAATGACTTAGTATTAGACACATCCCCATCACTAAGACATTGGGGACTTTGTGAACAGGAATGAAACTGTGGACTGTAGCCAGAGAATAGTTGCCTGTACAGACTTGAAAGTTTCAGTCCAGTTCAGTCGCTCAGTCGTGTCTGACTCTTTGCAACCCCATGAACTGCAGCACGCCAGGTCTTATGAATTACTTTGCATATGAATAGTAAAAGCCTATTGATACAGTTGAAAATGGCTTAGGTTAGGAAAGGCTCATAGCTTTAGAAACTGAAGCGTGGAGAAATTACTGTCCAGGTAAGAAGTAATAGAGGCAGATTTGGATCTCAGTTGGTCTTACTCAGGAACCTAAGCTTTTAACCAACCAGTATGCTATGCCAGCACCCCAGACTTGGGAAATGGTTACTATATGTAAACAAAAAGCCCTTTTATAGGCCATTCACAGTAATTTTCTTCCTAGTATACTTTACCAGTTAAATATAGATGAGGTGCTGATAGGGGTCATAGAAATGTATTCTTGATTCAGATAGCTCTATTGCCTAGATCCCTTGCCCCCGTCAAGGCTTAAGATTCTACTTTAATAGAAGATTTCTGTTTTGTGATCAAATGATGCTTCAAAAACAGTGTTCCTGTAGAAAACATCTCCATTTATTCTCAGAAAGTATCAGTGATTTTTTTGTTTCTGAAAATTAAATAATAAAAGTGACTACCTCTCAATGTGGAAAATTTGGAAAATATAAACTACTACAATTTGGAGAATAACCCAAAAGTCCCACAATCTAGAGATACCAATTGTAATTTATCTTGTAAATGTATATATATATTTCCATACATGTACATATAGTATCACTCCATATATATGGTTTTCAGCCTGTTTTTTTTAACCAGTATTAAATTATTAAATTGTCATAAGAATGTACCCTGACCTTTTAATTGTTTCCCTGATATTGGATGTTTAGATTGTTTTTAGTTTTTTTCACAGCTATAAGATGCTATAATTAGTATCATTGTTCATTAATTTTTATCAGTTTAATTTCTAATAACTGCCTTAGAATAGATTCTATCTGTAGACTGTTTTTAGGCTCTTGAAAAATACAAGGGCATTTGATTTTATGTGTAACGCTTAAATGATATATGACTATGTATTCATAGTTCTCTTTAACTGGAATAAGTTTCTTTCTGTTAAAGGAATTATTCTCATTAGGAAAGGACTTATTTTTTCTGTGTTTTGTTTTAGTTTTATAAGAAATATATGAGTTCTTTCTCATTTAAAAAAGCATCAGATGTCATGGAAACGTCTAGAGTAAAAATTTAAGGTGTCACTGTAATACCACTGTTACTCTGCCCTTGATACCGTTCCCATTCTGGAAACAGCTACCGTTGGCTTTTGGTATATATAATTCCAGACATTTTCCTTTGTGTTTTTATGTACATGTTGGTATGTTTACATGGCTTCCTGGTGGCTCAGATGATAATGAATCTGCCTCAGTGTAGGAGACCCAGGTTCGATCTCTAGGTTGGGAAGATCCCTGGAGAAGGGAATGGCGAACCACTCCAGTATTCTTGCCTAGAGGATTCTATGGACAGAGGAACCTGGCAGGCTGCAGTCCATGGCGTCACAAAAAGTCGGACATGACTGAGTGACTAACTCTTTCACTTCACTTTCATGTATGTTTCCACATATGAACACTAACATATATACACACACACACACGTATTTACATACACATATATATTGTGAATTTGTATTTTGAATATATATACATATTTATAAATGAACAAACCCATAGCTAGACTGCCAGCCCACCACAGATTTCAAACTAGTCTTCCCAGTTTTTTTTCATCTCATAGGCAGAATATTCTTTTAAAATGTGTATATTATCATGTCAATTTCCATTTTAGTCCTGATACATTTTAACTGCTGTAAGGCTGTTAATTTAAAAAGAAGCTTAATGTTACTGACAGTGCTCTGTGTGACCTGGCCCCAGCTTGCATTTCTGCTATTTTCCCATGTGCTTACTACACTTAAGTTGTACTGTAATATTTACTGTATAGTATATGTCAGTCTTTCTGTCAGTCTCTTTACTAGGACAAACTTCCTCAGTCTTTGTACCTGTGCCTGGAATATTCTTTTTTCTTTCTTTTTACTTTATCTTAAATATTATTTTCTTAACCTCTGGCAGTGTTAGGAACTCCCTGTGAAATGTGGGAATTTATTCATACTACAATTTTTATTTATATGCATTTCTCCAACCTAAAAATCATTTTATTTATCCATTCAATAGGTAATTTATTGAACACCTACTTGCTTTGTTAGGCACTGAGTTAGAACCTGGTTATATATAGTAGTAAATATAATAATAAAAATTATTACAAAGAAAGACAAATACTATATGATTTCACTCATATTGTGGGTTATATTTTTTAAAGACCAAAATGAAAACAGAGCAAAAACAAGTTTATAGATAGAGAAAGCAGATTGGTTGTTACCAGAGGGCAAGGGGATGGGGAAATGGTCAAAGTGGATGGAGGAGATCAATTTTATCATTATGGATGGTAAACTAGTGTTTTGATGGTGCACTTTGTAGTGTACACAGATGTCAAATTATAATGTACATCTAAAAAAAAGAAATTTTTAACAAGCTGCTTGCAAGCTACATTCAGAAGAATGTTCTTTCAATGAATGAAAGTGATACTCATTCTATAATGCATTTAGTGAAGTGTTATGAAGACTTATGATCAAGATGTTTATAACAACAGCAAAGTAAAGCTTTGTAAAATGCTATCATGTAAGCAAAAGGGTTTAGAGAATGACTGACTTGATTGTTTTGTCATTCAGTGAATTAATCCTTGAAATCATTTTTAGAATTACTAGCTTTTCTCTTTTTTTAGTATAAAGTCAGAATCCAGGCATGATTGAATTAAAAAAAAAATGAGGCTTTGTTTTGTGTCTTTGGCCCGTCTCATTTTTCTAGATTCATTTTCATTTCAATAATGCTTTTTTATGGTATTTCTAAAAAGTGTTGATCTGTTATGAACACTAGTTTTTAAAAATTATCTTTTACCGTAGGGAGTTTGAGATATATTGAGAAAGAGCACATTGAGGAATTAAGGCAGGTTGGTGAGGATGGAAAACAATCACATTGACAATAGTAGTGTTAACTTCATGTAGAAGAACTTTAGGATACTGAAAAGGGAAATGAAATGGGCAGACTGGGATCACTGAGTGTTGGCTAGAACAGAGGAGGCAAAGCTGGCTGACCAGGAGCTGCCAGCAACGCCCGCACCACCCCTGCAATGGGAAGAACACAGACTGGCTGGCTGCAGTAGACTTCTTTAATACTAAGTTTAGGGTTTAATATCTCTAACACCTTATTGTGGAAAGTTATTTCTTACTTTTTGCTGACTAACTGCAATTTAATTTTTCTTTGCTTCTTGTCTTCTTAAATAAGACTATGCTTAAGAAAGAGTTGAAGGAACAGTCCATTTTGGTTAGATAAATGAAACATTATTGGATCATGTATAAACTGATTTTGATTTATTAGTTTATTTTTATCTTACTTCAGGTATTAAAAAGAATTCAACTACAAATTACCCGAGCCCAGCAGATCAGACAAATGCCAGTGCAAACCTGCAGAATTATGGTGAAACCTCTCCAGATGCCATCAGTACAAATTCAGAGGGTGTTCAAGAAAGTCATGATGACCTGGTAATCTTTTCAGAGACATTCTATGAAGAGAAATGCCACCAACTTTATCTCATATTCAATATGTACCCATATATGGGCATTGATATGTAAAAATAATTGACTGAGATTGTGGGTAATTTACTTTGCTCTTCCTCCTCTTGACATTTTTCCTTCACTCTTACTGAATTGTTATTCTCTGAATTTCATTTTTCTAAATTTTTTTTTAAAAATTGTGTTGAAGAGGAAAGGTTCTATCTTTTTTCCATTCTTTATGTTTTGACCTTTATTTTAATTTGATTAAATCTACTGTGAAAAAGTTTGATAGTAAGGATGGTAGTCAGTCCTTATGAGGGGCTGTCTACAAAAGAAATGTTACTGGTTTATTTCAAGCCCTCTTCACCTAATGAAGTATTCTTATAGGTGCCTTAGAAAATGTGTTCAGCTTTTAATGAAAAGCTAATGAAAAATATATAACAAAACTGTCATATATTTAATCTTTGTGACCCAAAACAATTCTCTTGACTGAGCAGAAAGAAAGGAAGTAGAAGTTTATAACCATAATATAATAACTGCTTTCTGTTGGTCACAAATGTATTTTTGTTTTATTAAGTCACTGTTGTATTTTTTAGGAGTTATAGTAGTTTTCCTGTGTTTTTCCTAAATTTTGTTTTGAATTATTTGGTATACTAATATTATTTATGCAATCCTTTTTAGATGTCAGTTGTGGTATTTAAAATTACTGGTGTTAATGGGGAAATTGACATCCGAGGTGAAGATACGGAAATCTGTCTTCAAGTGGACCAAGTGATACCAGATCAGTTAGGCAATATCAGTTTACGGCATTACCTTAGTCATCGTCCAGTAGGTAAGACTTTAATGTGATTTAAGCTTGTTTTCTTTTTTAGTATATATGTCAGCAGCATTTCTACCTTTGATTTAAATAAATTCAAGGAAAATGATATTTATTTATAATAATGCAAAAGACTTATTTTTTTAGATTATCGTATTTCCCTAAAGTACTTTTTGAGTTGTTAGAAACACAATCTATTGCAGAGGTACTCTCTAATTTCTTTTTGTTTCTGCTAAGTTCCATCTTTAATTTTTTGAGTCTTCCCATTCTTTGAAATGATAGGTTTGAGAAAACTAAGATTTTTTCTACATGACAAGAGTGATAAAGTAATCCTGAAAGGTCAAAGTTAGTTCCACACCAGAATAAGTGTCAATTTTTGTATTCCATTGTCTTGTTGTTGTTAAGTTGCTTGGTCACGTCTGACTCTTTGTGACCCCATGCACTACAGCAAGCCAGGCTTCCCTGTCCTTCACCATCTCCTGGAGTTTGCTCAAACTCATGTCCACTGAGTCCGTGATGCCATCCAACCATCTCATCCTCTGTTGTCCCCTTCTCCTCCTGCCTTCAATGTCTCCCAGCATCACAGGGTCTTTTCTAATGAGTCGGCTTTTTTGCATCAAGTGGCCAAAGTATTAGAGTTTCAGCTTCAGCATCAGTTCTTCCAGTGAATTTTCAGGACTGATTTCCTTTAGGATGGACTGGTTGGATCTTGTTGCAGTCCACGGGACTCTCAAGAGTTCTCCAACACCACAGTTCAAAAGCATCATTTCTTCGGTGCTCAGCCTTCTTTATAGTCCAACTCTCACATCCATACCTGACTACTGGAAAAACCATAGCTTTGAGTAGACGGACCTTTGTTGGCCAAGTAATGTGTCTTCTTTTCAATGCACTGTCTATGTTTGTCATAGCTTTTCTTCCAAGGAGCAAGTGTCTTTTAATTTCATGGCTGCAGTCACCATCCATAGTGATTTTGGAACCCAAGAAAATAAAGTCTGTCACTGTTTCCATTGTTTCCCCATCTGTTTTCCATGAAATGATGGGACCAGATGCCATGATCTTAGTTTTTTGAATGTTGAATTATCTTGCTTTATTTTCCATTATCTTGCTTATAAGCAAGTATTTCCTGAGTCTGGTGTTATACTTGATACGTGGTAAAATCATGTATCCTGTTCTTTTGGGTTTTCATTCTAAGATCAATACATGCTCCTAAATATAGAGGGATATAAGCAAAAAAACATGCCATGTATGACAAGAATGCCACATTAAATCATTCTTTTTTCAAGCTTTATATGGAATTATCACTCATAGTTTTCAGTCATTTAAAGACCTGAATTTATTAAAATAATTATGCTGAGAAATTTAAATGACAGTGTTCAGTTTCTTAAATCTTTTGAAAAGTCACTTAGCTGTAATATTTTTCTTTGCTACATGTACAGAATGCTATATCTGATAGAATACATGTTGAAATACATGCAATCCTGCATGATATCAAACAAACATGCTATCACTTCACATCCTGGGAATTGCAGGTAAATGTGCTATTTGTCTACAAACCAGCATCATAGAAGAAAATTACCTCTTGAGTTTTTCTATGTGTAGGCCTTGCAGTTTACAATGTATCTCCTAAAAAGAAATTCAGGAATTTCATATTAGGAAATGTCAATCCCAATAGCATACAAAATGAAAGAAGCTAAGTATTCAATATATATAGTTGGAAAGATTTTATAGTAGATGAAAAAACAACAAAAAAAGATGGAATGTAAAATTTCAAAAGCTAAACCCTGTTCTATACCCAACCAAACACTTTTTTGCACAGTTTTTTGCTTTATACCCCACTTATTACCATATCCTATTGCTTTGCTTCATCTTGTTTCTAACTGTAGAAATTATTTTGAAATACCTTGTATGTATGGATTATATAGGCAGTACTGTCTAATACCTTAATTTTTTTTTTTTTTACAGCTGTCTTGGTTTAAAAATAAAATAACAAGAAAGAAAGGAAAGGGAAAGAGAATAAAGGGAAAAGGAGAAAAAAAAAGTTTAGCTTGAACATTTAAGACATTAATAAGCCATATGAACAAAGATTGTAATTTGATCTATAGTTTATATACACTGTCACTCTGACATGAACAGTTAAAATTATAAAGTTGTTTTTGGTTTTGTTTCAGTTTTTCTATAATAATGTGTAGAGTTTGGATCTCTTTAATGGGAAGCCTTTTTAAAGTTTCATGGCATAAGAGGTAGTAGGGAGAAGTGATTTTGTTTTAATTCTGCTCTAAATACTCTTTTTGTTCGAAATGATTTATGACTCTCAGGGCCCTGGAGTATCTATCTGTGTGTGTGTGTGTGTGTGTGTGTGTGTGTAGATAGACATATGTAGTTATAATATAGACAGATAAAAGGCAAAATAAAATCACACTTACCAAGTTATTTGTTTTGAATTGTTCTTACTGTTAAATAGACAAGTTAGTTATCTCTTGGTTTTCTTGGTACAGGAAAGAACATTAACCACTATGAGTTTGTGGCCATTTCTTTTACTTTCTATTTTTAAAAATACACGATTTCTTAATTGTTTAAAGAATTCTTAGGGAGTTTTGTTATTTTTTTCTTTTTGTCCACACCATGTGGCTCGGATTCTCTGATCTGGGATGGAACCTGGCCCCTGGCAAGTGTTACTAAGTGGACCACCAGAATTCCCTGGGAGTCTTTTTGAACTCTTCTGATATCTATACTATTTATTTTGAATCTTAGCAATTAGTGCTAGCATTAATGAAATGTCATTTCTTATCTGAAATAAAAGTTTTAAAACAACTCTCCACTTTGTGTTGTATAAGGAGATCTATCCTTGGTGCATAAATATACATATCTTTAATTTCTTGCACCCTTCTCCCTTTCATAAATATGTATACATTTGACTTCTGTAAGACTAAAGTATTCACATACATACTGAGGGAAAATAAACATCTTTTCATCATGAATTTGATTAGAGGGGCCTTCTTATAAGGGTCCATGGGACAGATAATCTCAATAAATGAAATAGCTTCACCTTTCCAGAACAGTTTGTTTTTATCTCATGGGTTGTATGAATTGTGAAACTGATTGTATTTTCCCTTTGCTATTAGAAAGCTGTTTTTGGTCTACCTTTGGCAAAGGAATTTAGATAACGTATTTTGAGTTAACAGCCTTACCACCTGTCTTTTACTTTTCCGTTCCCTGCTTATTTTTAATTCTGATGGTGCCACGTGCCTGGTGCCTCTTATTCTTTTTGGAGCTGGATAATGTAAAATAAAGAAAAATATTTACTTACCATGAGGGCCGATTCTCTTAAGAAGTTCCACTAGGAACTTTTATTTTTAAAGCTATTCTATGGGGGAAAAAAAATAAAGCTATTTTATGGGTGCTTTATTGAAATTAAACAACACTTTTTGAACTTGAGTCCTTATAGCTCTGTAATCCACCTCACATTCTTTTGGGAAAAAGGGCAAGACATAAGTAAATATAAATGTAAATATAAACATATCTGTATTTCCTTTGGTATAATTATAGTTTTTTTTTATTT